TCGTATTCTCTCCAAAATAGACTCTTGCTACTTTTCTGATGAATTCTTTAAACCGCCGTGTACTGGGTATCAAAGAAAGAGATTTTAGAGAAGACTGTTGTAAGCGCAAGCATAGTTTGCGAATAATTTTTTGAAAAATACGTTACCTATTATTTGAGTTTTCAATATAATTAGTAACGGTAATTTGAGATATCATTTTCATTTCGCACTGACCAATGTTACACTTTCGCACGTAATTTTATCATATAAATTGGAGCAGTCAGTACGCTGTAATTTTTGAAAAATGAAATCAGTGCCACAATTATACATCGTTTTCACCCTTGAGGCAGGAATGTCCTATTTAATTTATACATGTACTTTTATTATACAAAAGCATATTCAATTTGGTCAAATCAACACAAAGTAAAATTTGTTGGGAAATGTTGACGTCGTTGACATGATACCGAATAGCTTTGTAAAACTATTGTCTCGTGCTGATTCGACAAAATTAAAAACCTTTTTGCATGGTAAAAGTATGTGCGAAAATGAAGCGGAGCATCTCTCAATATGAGACGAAAACGATAAGAAACAGTTACTATCACGACGTCGAATCTTTCTGCAAAGATTACTTCTTTCTACCTACGTCGAATGAAAAATCCTTTTGCATGGTGAAAATACATGCGAAAATAAAGCGGACCATCCCACGCGATTTGATAGAGCGAAATAGTTAAATTTCACGTTATTTTCGAAAATACATCTTTGCGAACGCCAAAATTACATTAAAAAACTGTAAAAAAATATCCCAGAATAGGACCCCGAATAGGGCTCTAGGTACTAACATCATATGACCTAAATAACTTGCAGTAACATGACCGAGTCTCGACTCATGCTCAAGAATCCCAATTTCCTACGAAGCTAAGTTGAATCCAACGTTATGAACGCGAATTTGGGATACAGGAAAATTATTGTCAAGATTCTGGGCGTGTTACTGAGGGAGTAGAGTGACACAAACACACATTATCTCCCAGGAGATGATGCAAAACGAAATAAGCACACCTGACGTAATTTTCGAAAATATACCTTTTCAAGCGCGAATGAACTTTAAAAAACTCTAAAAAACTACCCCAGAATGTGCTTTATACGTTAACGCTACATGACCTAACCTGTAGTAATATGACCGACTTTTGGCCCCTGCGCAGGATAGGACCACTGCGCATGCGTGAGAATTCGAATATACTCCTACGATGGATCTAACGTTATGGGCGCGACTTTTGGATATTGGGAAATTATTTTCAAGATCCTGGGCATGCTGCTGAGAGAGTGACATTAAGGCACATCCAAAAGACGATGCAGAGTGAAATACGCACACTTCACGTCATTTCGGAGAATACACTTCAAAAAATTATCCCAGGCTTATCTAACTCGGTTTAATAAATATAGCGAAGACTCAAAACACTTCTGTTCGAATCCCGGTTTAATAGTTTAGCGGAAACACAAAACGCTTCGATTGAGTCTCGGCTTAGTAATTTAGTGGAGCCTCAAAAAGCATCGATTCAAAACTCGGCTGAATGGTTTAGCGGAATCTCAAAACAGTCGGGTCCGAATCTTGGCTTAATAATTTAACGAGAAATTGAAATATTCCGGTTAGATTCTCGGCTTAATAATTTAATTTTGTCTTTAATTTATCGAAATTTAATTTGTCATCTTCTCAACAACAAACGCGTATACATAAGAAAATATCTCCGAAGAGATATTATGTCGTATTTAATACGACATAATAAGTTATAAAGTATATTAATCAAATAGTAAATATAGAGCATATATAGAGTATATATAAAACATATATAGAGCATAAATAAAGCATATATAATATATACAGGGCATATAAATATGACATGTTGAAATATATCAATATAATGTATCATCAAGAAACAATCCGACGAGAAGGAAGCCTGCCGAGTCGAAATTTCAATTGACCATTGTTATGCAAGAATGATCCAATTCAAAAAATTATAAGTTTTTATCAATGGATACTCCCTCTCTCTCCCTCTCTCTCTCGCTCTCTCTTTGCCTCTGCCTTTCTCTCTCTCTCTCTCTCTCTC